CATTCGTCGCTGTGCCGCCACGCTCAACCAACTAAAAGATGGCGGTCCTATAGCTTGCTATTAGGTTTTTATTATTTATTATTTATTATTTATTATTTATTATTTATTATTTATTATTTATTATTTATTATTTATTATTTATTATTTATTATTTATTATTTATTATTTATTATTTATTATTTATTATTTATTATTTATTATTTATTATTTATTATTTATTATTTATTATTTATTATTTATTATTTATTATTTATTATTTATTATTTATTATTTATTATTTACAGCCAGCTAGGTTAGCCAGCTCTTACTTCTTCTTGCCTTGGTTCCCGATTAAGATCTCAACCGCGACGAATTAATCACCAATAGCGCATTTAATACCGGCTTCTGCGCTAGGAAGCGTCGAGTTCCATGAATGTGGTAAGGAGGTCTAGGAACACGCCGCCATAATGAGAGATATCGCGTCCGGTGAGAGGGATTCGAGGTCGTGCAAGCGCCAGGAGGGGCGGTGCCGAATGGATGGTATCAAACACGACCAGAACCACGCGCAGGGCGCATCGCCTCCTTTCGGATGGCAAATGTACCAGCGAGGCACCAGAAGCATGGCATAACACGCGATGTGAATAAGGCAGTGCGAAGTAGAGAAAATCTCCTGTGGCTATAAACAGCGCAAACGCAACAATATGTACATGGAAAAGAACAGCCAGTGAAAGGCCAAAGTGTTGGACTCCATCCAGGAGACACCGCGAAACCACGGATTCCAAACCACACGGGTTCCCCCTCCCCCCTCCCCCTCCCTCAAACAGGCGCCGCCGCCTCTTAGTAGTGTGCGGACCGCCTGGCGCGCATTGGGGTGCAGTCGCCGTCGCTGGGCTTGCCGACCAGGTTGGGCGTGTGGTCCTCACAGGCGTTGGGCCAGGTGGCCGGGCCGGGCGCCGTGTAGCTCGTCAGGGGCGGCCAGTAGATGTTGATGAGGATTCCCGGCTCGCTGCCCTTGTAGGCGCCCGGGAACTTGACCGTCGGGCCCGGGCGGCCGCTGCCGCTGCCCGTGACCTTGAGCTGGGCGCAGCCGATGTAGAACTGGGCGCCACCCGCGGACCCGGCGCCGTGCAGGCCGATGTGCTCGGCGCGCATCAGGTAGTCGCCCGGCGGCAGGTTCTGGGGCAGCTTGAAGGTGAAGCCCGTGATGCCCTGGCTGTTGGGGAAGGTGGCCCAGACGGGGCCCTGGGAAGCGGAGAAGCTCGCGGTGGTCAGGCTGTAGACCTTGAACCAGTCGCCATCGCCCTTGTACTGGTTTGCGGCCACGCCGTCGGGCGCGCGCGACAGGTAGACGGCCTGCGGGCCCGGGTGGCCGAGGTTGGAGTTGACCATGAAGCCGACCTCGTCGCCGGGTGCGACCGTGTAGGTCTTTGTGGCGGCCATGATGCCGGCGTCGAGCCCGCCCTGGTTGCACACCATGTGCGGCGACTGGACGTTCTCGATGGGCGAGTTGGAGTTGGTCGTCCGCCGCACGTACTCGTACGGGCCCGTCGTCTTGCCGTTGACCACTAGGCTTTCGAAGTTGTAGTGGGCCAGGGCCGTGGGGAAGACCCCAGCCGCGGCGAGGATGGTGGCGAGCGTGTTGCCGCGCATCGTGAACGAGGCCTGATGAGTGAGAGTGGGAAGGGAAAGGATGGGCTGGTGAGGGTGAAGATGCAAATCAGACAAAAAAAAAGAAAGGCCCAACGTTGGTTTTTATATCCTAGGAGCGGGTTCGAGGGATGGTAGCTGCTCTGTAGGTGTTTCGCTTCAACAATATCGAGAAAGGCTTTGGTGGGTTACGCGGGACTCCGAGAGTGGTCGGATTCCATGCCGCCATCACGATGCGCCCGTGGTTGTCGGCAGCAGGTGCCGGCATGCAGCGTGTTACTCCGTCCATGTCAGCGCTCTCGACCAATCGCCAAGCTCGGGAGGGCCTGGTGATGGTCATGGAGGGGCGGACCATCCCCCTCGCCTACGGGCACATGGACGTCGAGGCGGAGGGCAATAGTCTGTATTGCAAACCGCCGGCATTTTCCGTCGTGGTGTTATTGGATGGTGACGGCGGTCGAGTGTCCCGAATGGTCGATGCGGCGTCCTTGCCGCCGCCCGCCACGGCGAGATGAAGGCCGCCAATCAGGGCCGGGATTCGGGATTCAGGGATAGGGGCGCGGAAACTCAAGTCCTAAACCACTTGTCCAGGGCGTCTTGGCAAGGAATCGAGTGACGGATAGACGATGAAATCGAGCAAAGATAAAACAAGGCGTGTTTTGGAGTCGCTCGACTGTAATTTGCAGGCAGACCAGCCCATCCCTCGACACGCGCGTTTCCTCGAGGCACGGCTCCACAGCGGGAATTTGTCTGCAGATGTCGAGATGATCAAGGACCGAGCTCCAGGCGCGTTGTAAGAGCCAGAACCCCCCCTACCCGCGCGCTTGGCTCCCCTACAGGCCAGGGGCCAGGATGTCCCACCGGACCAGCCAAGCGGTGGGTGATCGGGTGATCGTCCCGAGGAGGGCTGCCATATGTATGACCATGATTCACGTCAGTCTTGAGAAACGAACGGCAAGAGGGTCGCTAGTCGACAAGGTAGATGCCTTGGGTTCTCGAAATCCCGCTCGTTTGACTGCCCACGCGCCTAGGCGCAACCGGGCCAAGTCCCGCAGCGGGCCGTGCTGCCCTGGCGTGATGTGCATCTTGGCCTGTCTGGAGACATTTTTAGCCACTGGAAGCTTCTTGGACAACGACGCGACGTGTGAATGATCTCTGATACAGGCTTCCTACCCAATCATTAGTTCCTTCCCACTCTAGGAGGAGCAACAGTACGGCTAGTTGTGCCGGGGCCAGTCTTCACTAAAGACGGCGCGCCACCATTGGTAGCGGTCCCTTTGGGACTACTCCCCCTAGTCTTGAATGAGGATATCGCAGACTGGCGGTATGAACGCAAGCTCCCGAGCAGCTTATGCTCGTCAGGGGTGGCGGCAGCCGGTTCCATGGTGACAGGGCCGGCATCTGCGGCTGTGGCCCTCTCTTCATCACCGGCCACATCGCCTCCCCTCGCGCCTAGCCCTTTAAAGTTTTTTGATCCTGCTTCTCCACCTTTCAGCGGACTTGGTCACAACACCTTGCCCCAAGGTCCGGTGGCTACTGGCTTCGAGGTTGAGGAGCTTTCGTATCGGCTCGATGCGGAACGCGACTTGATGCAGGTGTGGCACACAGCTGCAAATGATCAGGGTTCCGGCTTCGACCTGACACCATATTATCGCAATGGCCCTCTCGTCTGGGATATCGTGCAGGAGTCAGCGTTCATCCTTGGGCAGGGACACTCGCACAGCGACCAAGATTTCGCGGGATGTCATTCCAGACAGTAAACGTACAGGCGTCGTCGTCGCCTCGAATCAATTTTAGCACGGCAAATAGCCGTATGATAGAGATTATGCAGATGCTGTGGTCCCAAGCCAGCAGAATAGTCTGGTCAGCGAACACTATTCTACATTGAGGACGAGGTATCGAAGCGAGCAGTCGGGCGCTTACAGTAGTCCCAGCGAGAGCATAGCGATGATGCCGACTTTCTTCGCCGTTGACGTGAATCTCAGGCTCTAGATGGCGGGGATAGGCTGCAGGAGCAGTACAAGGTCCGTTGCAAGGTTGAACGCAAACTGTCATTTTTCACGTCACTCGATGTCAACTGTCAGCAAGGCGTGGCTGTGGGGAAGGAAAGGCGAGCAGTGCGATGGGACTGGCGCGATACGCGCATCGCAAATCCACATGGGCGCAAGCCCGTAGCTTGCACCCTCGATATCAGTCCTCCGTTGGGACTCGATGGGCACGCACTGAAAGATCACTACGCTCACCTCGATTGCCTGGCAAGCGAGGAAGATGAGGACCGTAATGTTCAGTGGGACGACCCAGTGCCGACCAGTGTGCGAAAGGAATCTCATGTAGAGGAAAGCAAAGGAGCCCTTGACGGACGTGATGGCAAAGCTCCAGGTGATGGACGCGACGATGCCGGGGAACAGCCTCATGTTGGTCAAGTTCTCGGGCGCAACATCGGAAATGGCCTTGCCAAAGTCGTATCTTGTAGCTGGGAGTATGTCAGCAGGGCCAAGGGTGTTAAAGTTTGATCAAGCAACATACCAAGAGCGTCAGAGGTGCAAATGGCAATATAGCTGGCCTGCAAGAGTTCGGGTAGATGTGCTGTTGTCAGCAAAGCGGCAAACAGACAACCGGATATGCGGTCAAACTGGGCACCAGGTCGTGTTTGCTCACCCAACCAAAACACAGGAGTGCTAGCGGTTACGTGTCTCGTCGCATTAGCTAGAAGCTGGGATGGAGCACCGCCCAAGGCCGTGGCATCTATACAAACCGCCCTCCCATTCAAAGCGGCGCTTAAGGATTCCCATAAGCATCCTAACGGCCATGAAGACGGACGTCAGGCTCGACATGGTGGCTGTGGTGATCAGGAGCAGCGGTCCAACATCCCGGACTGGGCCGGCGGGGGCGGGCTGGGCCATGGTTGGTGGCGGGGACTGGGGCGCCCTTGAGGGTCTTCTGTGAGTGGTAAGAGTCGAGCCGGCGTCACAGTCGCAAACGCGCCTGGCTCGGAGAGAGACATGACGGGACTCTGGGCGGCATCTTGTGCCTTGGTATGGGTAGTCGCGAGGCGGATGGCGACGGTGAGGGCGGAAGATGGCCCGGGGCCAACAGAGTTGGCCACGGTGGGAACGGAGAATGCTAAAAAAGAAAAAAGGCACTAACCGCGGCACATAATAGCCGTCTGAAGTCGTTTTTGGTGTGTCCCAGGCTTCCGGCACCCCCGTCGCACGACTCGCCGCCTTGGGCTTCTTCGGCGGGAACACGATGTCCGGGTTCGAGCTTGTTGCACATGTTGGGGCGAAGGCTTCGGGAGCTCGCGGGTTAGGTCGAAAGCCAAAAAGAAGCATCCGTCGGTGTCAAGCGGTGGTGGACAGGGAGGGGCCGATTTACGTGATGTTTGGCAAACACGCAAGCAAGTGCACAAAGCATAGAACGAGTAAGAATTCCATCATGACTGCTAGCTGGGTGAATCATGAGCCATTTAATTGGCGGACATCTCCGATTCGGGAAGGAACAAACATCATGGAGCCCCATCATTCCATCACTTTCCTCTCCACTTCCATCCTCACAAGTCGATGGCCTCGGGCACCAACTGCAGGTTCTCAATGGCCGCACACCCATACAGCCCCAGATCGTTGGAGCTCATCCACGGCGCCTCGTCTGCGGGCCCGACAAAGTCAGGCGTGTTGACCCTGTTTGTCGCCCACGACAGCGTCGGCCCGAGGCCATCCTTGCGCAGGAACTCGTCCCACGCCCTCTTGGCCAGCGCCGTGCCGTTGCCCTCGCCGCCCAGCCGCTTCGCCGCGTACGCCGTCAGCCGCGAGTGGCCCTGCCGCAGGCTCACACCCGAGAAGGCCGCCCCGTACCTCGCCGCCTGCTCCGCCCCGGACGCCCCGTAGTAGACGCAGTAGTCGAGCCAGGCCGCGTCGAAGCCCGCCGGCAGCGCCCCGCCCCCGCCAAAGTGCTCCGTGATCTCGTGCACCACCTCGACGAGCCCGAACATGGCCGAGAGGTGCGAGATCCCCACCACGCCCTTGTTGCCCTCGTCGCCCGGCGGCGGGCCAAGCTCGCCCGTCAGCGTGTTGAGCGTCGCCGACCCCGTCACGAAGCCGTTCTTGAGCCGCGCGATGCCCGCCATGGTCCGGTTGAGCTTGCCCAGCGCTTCCTCGTACCGTCCCCCGCGCCTCTCCACCTCGATCAGCCAGCCCGCCGCCAGCGCGCCCCAGTCGGTCCCGAGCCCGATGTCGGCCGCCGTGGGCGACGGCTTGAAGCCGTCGTTGCGGACCTTGCGGCGCGCGTCGAGGAAGCCAAACGTCGCGTCCGCGTCCAGCGTCTCCTCCATCAGCTCGCCCACGCGCTCGTCGCCGCCCGAAACAAAGTAGAAGTACTTGCGGTACTGCGGCGTCGAGATGCGCGCCTGCTTGGCGCTGTCGCCCCAGTGCAGCACCCCGTGCCGCGTCCCCAGCCCCCTCCACTTGCCGACGTGGTACACGTCCACCTCGCCCGTGTGCTGCGTCTGCGCCTCGGCGAAGCGGTAGACGTCGGCCCGGCCCGTGCGCAGGAAGAGCTGCCAGAAGAAGAGGTTGGGCGACAGCTCCGAGTTGTCCCAGCCGTAGCCGCCCACGTCGTAGCGCCACGTGTGCCGGTCCGCGTCGTAGGCATGCATGAAGTCGCCGTGGTCCAGGAACCCGTACCACCGCCGCTGTTCGACCTGGCCCTCGTACAGCTTGAAGAGGACGTCCATGTTGCGCTCGATGGCGGCCGCGGTCGGGGAGGCCGTCTTGCCAGGCAGTGACCAATACGTGCCAAACGCCCCAGACGCGTGATAGGTTTCCGGGGACGCCGTGAGGACGGGTGGGTTTTCGACGTGGTCGGCCAGGTCCGAGATAAACTGCCGCGACGGGGTCTGGGCGAATGGAAACACGAAGATCTCGTTTGTCCTCGCGATGCCGTACGGGGTGTCAAAACCCTCCTCCCAGTCCTCGTATGTGATCTCGAGCGCGTCCAGCTGGTCCTTGTACGTCTTCTGCCCCAGCCCGTCATGGAAGGGTCTGAGGTCGAGCGGCTGGGCCTCTGGGCTGTAGATCCAGAGCGTCATCTCTCCAGTGTCGCTGGCAGCGTTCCTGATATCGAACGCCGTCGGGTGTCGTTTCAAGAAATGTCGCATCCCGACCGCCAGCCCACCCTTGCTCGCGCCGCCCAGGTACGCTATGCCACCCGACCTCGTGCCGCCGGTGCTATGTATCCAAGACTGGCCCGCCTTGGTCCGCTTCTTGATGCTGAACCCGTCGGGCGTGAGCTGCGTCAGGCTGAAGTCGCCAAAGTTCGGGACCCAGTGCAGGCGCGACGTGACCCTCGTGTCCCAGGTGCTCTCGTCGGGCGTCTTGCGGCCGTCAAACTGCGCCTGCTTGACCGCCAGCCCCGGGTCGCGACGCAGCCCCGTGATGCCCTTGACCGCCTCGCTGAAGAGCCCGCCGTCAACACCCGAGAGGCGGACGTGCCGGTCGTACAGCTGCTCGCCATCGAGCGGGACGTCGAAGCGGACGCCCACGCCCGCGATAAAGTCCTTTTGCGCGTCGCCGTCGTAGACGATGCTGTGCACGATGCGCAGCGACTCGGCACCCGCATACAGGTAGAAGCGCAGCACAAAGGGGAGCCAGGCGTCGTGGTGGGCCGCGCTGCTGGACGTCTGCTGGTGTTTTCCGCGGACGGTGACGAGCGCCCGGACAGGCGACTGCTCGCTCACCGTCACGTTGTCGATGCTGCTTTCGAAGCTGTAGCGCTCGGCCGCCGGGGTGCTGCCGCCAGCCTCGTCGGCGACGCCCGACTGCGATTGCAGTACGAGCCGGCCATTTTGCCCGACTATTTTGCCGCCCGCCGTTGCGATCGACTTGACGAGGACGCTGCCTTTCTTGGCGAATGATACGGAAATTTTGCCTGTGTCCACCGTGATTTCGGTCTCGCTGTTGGCCTTGACCAGACTAGACTTGGAGCCACCGTCAAGGTTCCGCTTGGTTGAGTTTTTCCGTGAGCATGTCTTGGGGCCCGTGGTCGCCACGACGGTGTATTCGGACGCAGGGTTCTGGGCAGCAGGAACGGCGTGTCCCGTCCACTTGATGGAGCCGTCGGGCCAGTAAGCCGTCACCCAGGATTGAAGCTCGCCGCCGTCGCCAGCGGTGAACTTGGTCTGACCGGGTCGGTGCTTTCCGCGGGACCAGGGCAGCCCGAAGGTGACGCCGGAATGGTGCGCTGGTGCCGTGCCACCCAGCCAGCCGACCTTGGCGCTCTCGGTTGTCGCGTTGGTCACCTGCGCCGACCCCGGACCCGACAGGAGGCCGGCGGCGGCGGCTAGGCAAAGGGCCACCCTCGATAACATTGTGGCCTGGGAAGGGTGTCAGAGGTCTCCTCTCCTGGACCGAGCTTGGTGAGGTAGCCCGTGGTCGCAAGAAGCACACTCGGCGCGAGCCCGCGTTATATCTCCGAGAACCATGAGTAACAAAAAGGGGTCTCGTCCATCCTCCCCGCATCGACGGCAACCTTGACAGCGGCATCGCTGCTGCAATCTTGGCCCGAGTCATCACTCCTCCCATCGAGGCATTCCGCAACGTCGCATTTACGAGGGCCCCCTCTCCTGGTCGGCCAATTTTGCCGGTGGTATCGAAATTGGATCTCGCGGGGGCGCCATCCCCAAAAGTCTCCGCACTCATGGATGGCGTCACGCTGCGCATGCGGGGGAGCTTCGGGTCCCGGCTAGCACTCCTCCGAGCGCCCGAGCCGTCATCTCGGCCTGTGCAGCCTATTTTCGCCCCAATCAGCTGCGCTACCATCCATTCATGTTCTCTACCATTCCTCTCTTCCACCAGAGGATTTGCGACATCTGTGGCGAGTTAAGCCACTGAAGATTTGCACCCCCTCATTCACTGCATCAGCTGCCAAAAAAAACATCCCTGAGCTTCTGCAGGTGTACAATGCCTGAAAATGGTTCCTAAGCCTCATTCCCTTGCTGGTTGTTCAGCGGCAGCAAGGTCGCCTGCTCAGCCTTTGTACCAAGACGAAGGCCAGCACACAATGACGACCAACGGCGCCTCGTGTTCTTTGTTTCATTGTTTGAAGGCCAGCGCTTGCAGGTGTATAAATCAGTGACGATCATGGAACATTTAGCTCATCCTTCCTATCCTCCTTCCCAAGCTCCTCTCGGACAATCGACAACCGGACTGCCAGTAACCTCAGCCTGCTGCCAAGGTAAGTATTGCCCTGACCAAAACATCCGCTAACTTCACCAGCAGCAGCGATGGAATCCTTCAGGCCGTCGTCCCCACTTCAGCTGCCGTGTCTGCTGAAGCGCCGAGGCATTCCGGCCGTATCTCAGGACGAGATCGACAAGCTTATCAAGTTCTCGCGCGGCTCAAAGACAGACCCCATCGATCAGGAGATGATCGCCCTATCCAGCCGTTGGAAGCTGGGCACGGAAACGGAGGACTTTAAAGCCGGGCTTTGTCTTGTACGGGATGCGTATGGCATCCCAGTACTCTTTCACGCCGCTCACTGCGGCTCACTAGAGGTCATTAGGGCCCTTCTAGTTTGGGGGTTTGACCCAAACGCTCAATACAGGGACCCGGGCGATACGCCCTTCACGCACGCGATCTCGGTCCGGCGAAGCTTCGAGATAGTAACGTTTTTGGCCGAGCGGTCCACAGACCTAGGCAAGGCCAACGACCAGGGAAAGACGGGCATCGTAATGGCGGCCGAGTTCGGCGACCGCAAGCTCGTCGACTGGTTCCTAACCAAGGGCGTCGAGCGCCAGGCCAAGAAGCACCCAGGTAGGACGGCGGACGAAATCCGTGCCGAGTGGATGCAACAAATTGCACCCTTCCTAGTCGTACGCAGCCCCACAGGTTTCTCCTGTATTTCCTTGGGAAGATCCAAGACCGCTCGCCAATCCAACGATTAGTCGGGCGGCCTCTGGCAATGACTACTGAGCCGGGGTTTGCTTGTCTTTCGGTGCGGCGGAGTAAGGGATATCTCACGAAAGGAATGATAGAACTTAAATTGAACGAAATGAATCTGTATCACGTTTGTTTCTGCATCATCAACTATTCCAACTCGATTTACTAATCGAGAGTTAGCGTCCCCCATTTAACCAAACATGGTGCCTTCTTCCACAATTACGTTTAAACTAATCAAGCAATAACATTCCGTAAAAGCGTTGCTATTAAGCACAAAAAGCCCGTTCCGGAAGCGTTGGGTACGGTAATTATAATATGTATAATTGCAGCGGTAATTTGCTAACGGGTTATTTAATGGAAAAAGTTAAATTAAAAAAATAAAAATATTTCTTCCCGAAATTATACGGCAGGGCTTGGGTTAAAACGGGTATTAACGTTAAATTAATCGTAAGCGAAAAAATGTGCTACCGTTTTACGGGGGTTTTAGCGGAAATGCGTTAGCTATTAGCAAAAAAAAGGTGTTACAGTTAAGCCTCTGCTCCTAAAGTAAAGCACCAAAGGAGTATTAAACAGTAGCACGTAACTTAACAAATTGAAAGGATTTACAAAGTAACTTGGGTGCGGTTTAAATGCTTGCTCCAAAGGTTACTTGGAAGCTAACTAAAGTTTAACTAATGCCAAAGCCTTAATTAAAAACTACCTAAAACAATAAAAAACCCTTTTTTTTTATAGCCCGTCCTTTATGCTGTTTCTTTCCCTCCCAAAGTAGTAATTTGTAATTTTGTTAACAAATTACAAATTACTTAAGTAATTTGTAACCTTATTAACAAATTACGGGCGGCTTACCTAAGCTTCCTTATGGTAAAGGGTAAGCGCTTGCTTACCCCTCGCCTTTTTGGCCTCCCGTCCCGGCCAAGTAGTTATAGGTTGTAACATTAAGTCCTTTCTTTACCGGCCAAGCCCTTTTGGCTTGCTTATGTCCGTTCCTCCCATTGCCAATCGTAAGTACTATTTTTCTTTATTATTTAATTATCCCTTTTTTTTAACAATGTCGGGTTAAATACAAAAACGCTTTGCGCGTTTCACCTTTTAACGTAAAAACCTTTTTGCTTTAATTTTTATATTGGCTATCGATATAAATTTTTATTTTTTTATTAAAACGTTTTTAAAAAAATACTTGTTTTATTTTTCCGCAAAATTCTTTTTATTGCGTAAAATGTTTTGCTTGCAACCGTTTTGGCTGTAACATTTTGGGTTTTTTACTTAAACAATTGCATTTTATCGGTTTTTAATATTAAAGGATTAAAGCCGAAATGCGGGTTGTTAAAGTTAAGCGTTATGCTTTAAATAACCGTTTTAAGCGTTTTCGCAAACAAAAAAACTTTTGGCTTAAAAAGCAGTTGCGGGCGTTATTTTGGGGTATCGAAACCGTGGAAAAATTGGAGCAAATGGAACAGGTGGAACGAAAAAAGGCTGCTTTGGTAGCGGCCAATCCCTTTTTTCCTTTTTACCCCAATTTTTTTCCTTTGTTTCTTGGCTGGGCAGCGTTAAAGGTTAATCTTAACTTCGACCCATTAGCCCTTTTTTAGCCTGGTAAGTTGTAACTCCCTTAACAATTCCTTTTAATTGTATGGCGCAGTAGTAACGCGCTTGCTTTTGTAGCGGGAAGTCCTAAATTTAATTCCCGGTGCAACCTGGTTAAATTAACGATATCGGCTTTCCCAGCCGGGGTCGTTAGTTTAACTTTTTTTTTTTTTTGCTAATCCCGAAAGCCCAAGGTTTAGTATCGATTTTAAATTGCTTGCGCTCCTTTAATTTGGTAAATTGTAATTCTTTTAATAATTTCCACAAATTGTATAACGCAATGGTAACGCGTTTGTTTTTGTAACGGGAAATTTTGGGTTTAATTCCCGGTGCAACTTTAAATTTTTTTTGCTTAACTTTTAGTTAGCGAAAAAAGTTTTGCTTTTTTTGCTTAAGCTTGCCAGCTTATCCTTTAAATATGCTGTGGGATTTTCCTTTTTTTACTTTTTAAATTTTTCCGAATTTAAAACTTTTTACAAATTCCAAAGCTATTGCTAACTTTTTTTTAAATAATATTTTTGCAAAGCCTTTTGGCAATTCCTAAAATTTATTGTATTTTCCTACGTATTGTGCTTATCCCCCCAGCTTTTCCATTTAACGAAATATTACTTTTTGCGGTAACGTATTCGTTCGTTAAAAATGGCTTTAACTTCTTACTTTTGGTTGGGGTCGATTTTTACTAATTTAATGCTTTTAAAGCCCGGAAGCGCTGGCTTTAGCAAAAAAACGTGAAAAACCGGGTGGATGCGCATAATTGGTGGTAATTAAAATTTATAATTAATTGGAAAAATAACGCGAATAACCCGAAAAGGTTCCCATTTTTTTTGTTTAGCTTATCGCTTGGCCTTTTTGTTTTAATATTAACGCGTAAAAGGTAAACGTTATCCCTTTTTTAAAGGTTAATTTTTAATCCTTTTTTATTGGCTTGCTTTGCTATTCGATGGCGCAAGTTTTTTAGCTTGTCCTAAAAGGTTTGGTGCAATTTGGTAAGCTTTATTACCTGGATTTCCGTTACTAAGGCTTTAAATCCGGCTTTAAACTTGTTGTACGCCGTAAAGGTATACCCATAGTTAGCGTAAAACGGCGTTTTTCCCGTACTTTCATGCATAAAGCTATTGTAAGCAAATTAAGCAACTAGTAACAATTAAACCCAATTGTTTTGCTTATAAATAACATAATAACGCAAGTATTGCTTTATCGTTTTATTGGTTTGCTTCGTTTGTCCGTCCGTTTGGGGGTAATACGCTATTAACAAAGCGTGTTTTGCTCCGAAAAGCGCCGTAAGCATTTTTTAAAACTTGCTTGTAAATAGCTTATTTCGGTTTGTAATTAGTTTTTGCGGCATTCCGTAATCCGCTATTACGTACCGAAAAAAAGCGTAAACCAAAGTTAACGCATTGTTACTTTTTTTATAAAGTAAATATAAAGCATATTTTGTAAATTTATCCATTATTACCAGTATGCTATTATATTGTATTTCCGTTAAAAGCTTTTTAAATTTAGGAAATTTAATAACAAAATCCATAATAATTTTTTGCCATGCCCTTTTGGGCGCTGGCAATGGTTAAAGTAATTTATAAAAAAAATGTTTGTTAAGCTTGTTTTTAACGCACATTTAGCAATCCTTTATTATTTCCAGTATTATTGCCCGAATTCCGGTAAACCCGTAATGTTGTTGGAGCTTTTTTTATATTTTAGTAACCTTTAAATAATTATGGGCCGGTAACCCGTGGATTTCCAAAATCCTTTTTAAGGTTTAATTTTACTTTTTAATTATTAAAGCTATTGCCCGTTAAGCTGGAATTAACGCTTTTTTTGGCCCATGGGCCAAAAGCGTTTTGGTTTTTTTTGGAATAGCGATTTTGTAATTATTCCTTTTGCTTAAAGCATTTGCTTTCCCGTTTTTTAATCCTTTTCGGTACAAAATTTGGAAGTTATAATTTTAAAGATACTGGTTCCAACGGATTTAACGCTTGTTAAAGTTTTGGCTTGTAATAAAATGTGCCAAATTCTTGTGGTTAATGTATATCGTAATTTGGTGGTTTGCTTTATACAAATATACCTTTTACTTTTTTAAAGCTTTAATAATAGCAAAAAGTTTTTTATTATGGATTTGGTAATTTAACTTAAATTTTTTAAACTTTTGTAAAAAAAAAGCGCAAAAGTACAACCTTTTTTTTTATTTCGTTAACTTAATTATTTTTCGATTGCGTAATTTAACGCGTCGGTTTCGATTTTAAATAGTTTGTCGGGGTTTGGAATAATTAATATTGGTTTTTGTAAAATAGCGCTTTTAAATTATTTAAAAGCAATTTGTTTTCGTGCTTTCCAACGGAATTGGGTGTTGTTTTTGGTAAAATTTGTAAATGGCGTGGCGCCGCCATTAAACTTTTGCATAAACCGTTAATAAAAGTTAAGGAACCCCAAAAACGCCCGTACCTTTCGTACGTTGGTAAGCGCTAGCCAATTAGCCATTTTTTGTATTTTGGTTAGGTTTATCCTAATTTTTTTTAGCGTAATAACAAACCCGAAAAAAACCATTTTTTAAGTATGCTATACGCATTTATCCGGGTTAATTAAAAGCTTTGCGTTTTGTAATTTTTGCAATATTTGGTGCATATATTGCTTATATTTTTTTAGTGTTTTTAAATATATTAAAATATTGTTTAAATATGCTAAAACGAAAATGTCGAAATGCTTTCGAAGCACGTGGTTAATTATCCGCTGGAATGTAATTAGCGCGTTAGTAAATCCAAAAGTTATAATTAACAATTCGTACACGCCAAACCGCGTTTGGAAAGCGGTTATCCATTTTTGCCTTTTTTTAATCCGAAGCAATCCATATGCTTTTCGGAAGTTTAAAGCCGTAAAGTACCTGGCTTTGCCGAATTTATTGCGTAATTCGTTAATAAAAAGCAAAGGATATCGATCCTTTATCGTAATTTTATTTAGTAGTTGGTAATCGATGCACATTCGTTTTTTTCCGTTTTTTTTAAGTACAAATAGGATTTTGTATTTTATTGGAAATGTTAAAGGTTTAATTACCCCTTTTTTTAAGTTTTCCTGTAATTGCTTTTTTAATCCTTTTTGTTGCTTAAGGTTAAGCTGGTACAGTTTTTGGTATTTAAGTTACGCATCCGGCTTTAATTTAATTTCGTAATTAAATGGCCCGTATTTTGGAAGCACCGTTTTTAGGTTTTTTTGGAACAATTTTTAATACTTATAATATTCCGGAAATACATTAGCTAATTGTTATAGCTTTTATTTAAATCCATCGTAAAGCGTTATTATGGTTTTTTGTAATAAAGTTCGAAAGTTGCTGCTTTGCTTTATTTCCGTCGAAATACCCTTTTTCGGCTTTATTTTTACATTATTTGCGGCCCGTAATTGTTGGGCTTTTTTAATTGCTAGTAAAAGCTTCCATTAAAAAATCGTTTTTTTTCCAATTAATTTTTAAATTATGCTTTCGTAATTACGGAATCCCAAAAACCACATTTTCGTCCCGTATTTCCAACGCGTCCAGCGTTATTTAAAAAGTTTTGCTTTGGTATTGGAAATTAAAATAATCGGTTTTAATATCGATTTATTTATTATTGTATTTAATTGGCTTTTTTTTATTATTGTAAAAAAATATAGCTTGTTTTTTTTGCGTATAGGAATACCGTACCGTAACATTGCTTGTAATAATACGTAATTGCTTTGGGCACCGCAATTAATTAAGGTTTTTAAACAATAAAGGCTTTATTGCACCCGTATATGGAAATGTTGCTTGTTCGGGCTAATCGTTGCTATTAAAATTTTTATTGCAAATAGCTATCCTTTTTGTAGCTTTGGTACAAATGAATTCTTTAATTTTTTGTTTCGAAATGCTTTTATTACAAAGTAAACAGTATATACTGTTATAAAAAAGCCTTAAGCATAAATATCAAATGCCTAAGGCATCGGAAAAGCGGTCCCCTTGCTTGGAAGCGTATAACGCTTCCAAGCGTTAAAAAGGAAGCTTAATAAGCAAAAAGGACAGGGAGTTACGTGTATATAAAAGGCAAAAGCCCTTACGGGACCCTGCACTTCAAATCCTTTCTTCCTTAAAGCATATCAACCGGAATAGCCTTACACCGTGCCTATCCCTTTTACCTGCAACAGTTATAAGCCCGGCAACTTCTAAACCCTTTAACGTAAAGTAAAAGGCTTAGCAGCACGGATTTATTCCCCTTTTACTACCTTCATTAAATCGTTCCCAAACGCGCTTTTCCAAACGCGTTTATCCTTTTTTTCCTTTCCGCATGTTAAAAGCACGGGCGAAACCGCCCGGCAAAAAGCGGGAAGCGTTAAATGCACGGGCGAAACCGCCCGGCAAAAAAGGAAAAAGGGGGCGCTGGCAGCCAGCCGGGCACGGACCCCCCGGGAATATGCCGGCGAGCTACCGATATCGCGGCCAAAGCATAATAGCGAAGCTAAAAAATAAAATAAAGCTTAAATTGCACGAAAGCGCTTGGAACGCGAAAAATTTAAAAAACCAACCCCGGGTGCCCAAAAGGGTACGAAAAAAAGGAAAGTTAAAAAAAGAACAATTTTTATTGGCGATAGCACCTTTGGTAAAAAATTTACGGAAGTTTAACAAAGGAAATGCCGCATTCGGCCCGTAACCCGGTAATTACCCGCCTTTGCACCAATTAACCCTTAATATATTGTTCCTTTTCTTACACCTTTTTTATTTAAAAAGCAGGCCCGGGTAATTACCGGAAAGGATCGAGCAAGCTTAAAAAGGGCATTTGCGATTTCGCACCGCCCATAATAACGCCCGACGCCACGTCGAGCACGTCGGAAAAAACCGTTAAACCACCGAAACAAAATACCAAAAAAACCCCGCAAATTCCCGACGATTTCGAAAACCTTTCCGTAAAAAAGCTGCAAAAAATAAATAACGCGCTAAAAGCTTAAAGCAAACGCGCCCGTTTAATTTAAAAAATCCAAAATAAAAGGTTAAAGCATGCGCATAAAAATTTAAACGAAAATAAAAAAAATACTTTTAAGCAACGAAAAGGTTTTACGTAAAATAAAGTTACTTTTAAGCTTTCCATGCTTAAAAAATCGGCAATTTGGCAAAATATTGCTTATTATATTAACAATTACGAATTTATTTTCGAAAACGAAAAAGGACGTTACGGTAAAAACCGTGTAAAGGTCCAAATAATTTCCAACACTTTTAATTATCGTCGGCGGGCATAATGGATAAAATATAAGCAAATGCATTATTTAAATACTAGGGTATTGTTTATTTGGGCCGATTTTTTGCGGTAATTTTAAGCAAAATCGAAAAACCCCGATTCGCAAATGTAATTAGCAATTAAAAAGCTTGCGGGGGATACCGCTATTAAATAAAAGGATTATAAATCGTTTAAAGCGTTCCGGATTTGTTAGGATTTGGTAAAAAACGACTTTTCCGAATTAGCATCCAAATGGATAAAAACGATATTGCTTTTTAACCGGCTCCGTTTCGAAATCCAAAAATGGGTAATATTTAAAAACCTTTTTTACATTATAAAAAAATTGCAAGCTAAAGCCTTTAAAGCAAAAATAATATCGGAACCGTATAAAAGGACCCCGGGGAATATAAGTATTTTAGCCCCCAAAAAGTTGGTTACTTGCTTTAAATGCGGGCAGTTAAGCCATATCGCTGCAGCATGCAAAATACGAACGGATAACCCGGAAACCCCGTTAGCCCTAGCAATTACACAAAAGGCAAAGGGAAAAAAGCCCGAAGTACGGTATTACGGGTATGGGGAGCTAGGTTATATCCGGCCGGCGTGCCCCAAAAAAAGCAAAATATCGCCACCTAATTCGATACCGTTGTTTGGCCGTTTAGGTACCGGGGCTTAAAAGTGCGCCCCGGCGGCTAGGACGCGCTAAAAAACCAAAATGTATTTACAAATTAACGGTCGCCGGGTAAAGTTAAAAGCGCTGGTTAACAATAAAAGCGACGTTAATTTGTTGCACAGCCGTTTTTTGGTAAAAGCAAAAAAAATACCGGTGCCAAACGGGGGTTACCTGGCGTAATTCGATATTAAAAAACGCATGCTTACGCTAAAGGTAAAAAAATACAAAATTTGGGTAACGGATAACTAGGGAATAACCTAAAAGTTAATGGTATTTTACGTAATAGTGCCCCGGGCCGGGTACAATATTACGTTAGGCATGCTTTGGTTTTAGCAAAAGGATATTAAAATCCGGTTTGGGGATATAAAGTAAAAGTTTCCGGTAACCATTAAAAAAGTTAAAATAATTTCGTTGGAAATAGCTAAAAAGCTAATTTAATCGGGACAAGCGATAACCGTGCTAACGGTTGCACGCTCGGAAACCCCGGAAAACCCCGGGGAAAAGCTAAAAGCTTTCCCGGAATGGGTTAAAAGGATAATTGCAAAATATGCGCAATTTTATAAATCGAACCTTTTGCTAAAACATACAAGCTAAAATTACGCGATTAAATTGGAAAAAAAAACGATGCCGCTTTACGAAAGCATTTATCCTTTATCCAAAAAAAAATTAAAAACCTTCCGGGGGTACTTTAACGAAGCCATGGCGAAAGGTTAAATCCGGCATTTAATTAGCCCCGCCGGCGCCGGAATTTTATTCGTTTTAAAAAAAAACGGAAAGTTCCGCCTTTGTATCGATTATTGGGGTTTTAACAAAATTACTAAAAAAAACCGGTTAGCATTCCCGCTAATTTACGAAATATTTAACCGGATATTTAAAAGCTAGTATTTTACCAAGCTAAATTTAAAAAACGTTTATTACAAAATACGAATCCGATAAAGAAACGAATGGAAAATTGCTTTCCGTTGCAAATATGGACATTACGAATACTTAATAATGCTTTTCGGTTTGGTTAACGCTTTAGCAACGTTTTAAAGCTTTATTAATATAGCGCTTAAAAAATTAATTAATAACAATTGTATTGTATATTTAAACAATATTTTTATTTTTTCGAAAATATAGGAAAAGCACCGCAAAGCAGTAAAAACGGTACTAAAACGATTCGAACGGTTTAAATTTTACGTTAGCCCGGCCAAATGCAAATTCGAAACGGATAGTATCGAATTTTTAAAGTTTAAGATAACCAAATTCGGGGTTAAAATTTTGCCGGACAAAATTGTTGCGATTTTAAAGTAAAGGATACCGGAAAGCGTTAAGGATATTTAAATATTTTTAAGCTTTACGGGGTATTATTGGAAATTTGTAAAAGGTTACGCGAAAATTATTGTGCTTTTAACGGATTTCCTTAGCAAAGATACCGTATTTTACTTAAAAAATGTTGCGAAAAAGGCTTTTTGCAAATTAAAGCTGCTATTTACGAAAGTTTCGGTATTAGTGCATTTTAACCCTTCGAAGCCGTTATGCGTGCGGATTAACGCTTTGGCTTTTGCAATAAAAGCGGTGCTGTTGCAATTACAAAATGGCCGGTAGCACCCGGTAACTTACATGTTAAAAAAGCTACGATAAGGAAAGTTGCGCTATACAATCCTTAATTTAAAATTGTTAGCAATTGTAAAAGCTTTCGAAAAGTAACGGTATTACTTGGTTTATTTACAAAAAATTATTAAAATAATTACCGACCATTTAAACCATACCTATATTTTAACAAAGGAAAAAGTAATAAAGCGCTAAACAAAATGGTTCGAAAATTTAGCAAAGTACGATTTTACGATTAAATGGAAGCCAAAATACCGGAACCCCGCGGATAGCTTGTTAAAACGTTCCTAAAATATACCAATGGACGGGGAAACCGATATAGCAAAAAAAAAATTCCGAAGCGATTTATTGGCTAAATTCCAAAAAGCAGTTTACGTAAGGACAACCATTACTAAAAAGGACACCAAAACGATATTGGAGCGCATTTTCAAAGCACAAGCAAAAAACGATTTCGTTTAAAACGGTATTTAAAAAAACAAGCCCAACGTTTGGAAAATTAGCAACGGTTTGCTTAAGCACAAAAAGAAAATTTAAATTCCGAATTTAATACCGTTTAAACGGACAATGCTTTGGAAATAATACGATAACCCAACGGGGGGTTACAAAGGTATGGCTAAAACCTTAAAAAAGCTTAAACGGTAATTTAAATGGCCGGGTATGGCTAAAAACGTACGCAAATACGTGCGGACGTATTAAATATGCCAGCAAACGAAGCCGAAAATACAAGCACTTTACGGGCTATTAGCATTTTTGCCCGTGCCAAACCGTTCGGAACAAAAGCTATCGATAAATTTTATCGGAAAGCTTTTAACGTTGGTAAATAAAACCGGCAAAAAGCGCAACGCAATATTGGTAATAATCGATCGGTTTACCAAATATAGCTTTTTTATTCCAACGTTTACGAAATTAACCAATAAAGGATTAAGGAACTTTTTATTTGCATACGTTTAAAGGTTGTTAAAAACGCCCAAAAGGATTGTATCGAACCGGGACAAATTATTTACAAACGGGTTTTAAACAACCTTTGCCGGATACTTAAAAATTAAAAAAAAGCTATCGATAGCATACCACTTTTAAACCGACGGGCAAACGGAACGGACAAACCAAGCAATAAAGCATTACTTCCGGTGCTTTTGCTGCGAAAGGCAAAACGATTAAGCGTTGCTATTGTACCTGGCAGCGTGGGTGCACAATACGAGCGTGCATTCGGGGTTGCAAAAAACCCCGGCGTTTTTATTAATAAAATTTTACTTACGAAAGCTTTATAACCTTTGGGTGGTTAAAAAAAAACCTTTGGCAACGGTTAAAATTAAAGCAAAGGCTTTGGAAATAGTTAAAAAGCAAGCTAAAAAACTATTAAAAAAAGCGAATAATACGTACAAAAAGTACTATAACAAAGGCAGGACCCCGGTGCTTTTCGGGGTAAGCGATTGGGTATTATTAAATACGGCGAACATTAAAATAAAAAGGCCGTCGAAAAAGCTATTAAATAAATGGTTGGGACCTTTTTAGGTTTTAAAAATGGTTGGGTTAGCCGGTTTGGCGTTCCGGTTAAAGCTCCCGGTAAATTACCGGATACATAACGTATTCCCGGCAAATTTGTTACGGGCGTTTAAAAAAAGGCCCGGCAAAAAACCAAAAAATAAAAAACCAAAAATCGAAAAAGAAAAAAAGGATTGCTTTAAAGTAAAAGCTTTGTTAAAATATAAAGGGCTTTTGCGAAAACGAAAATACCTGGTTAAATGGATAAATTATAACGAATCGAAAAATTCGTAAATTTTAAAAAGGGATATTACGAAAAAAATTGTTTAAGCGTATAAAGCAAGCTTATTGGAAACGAATTTACAAAATAAGGAAAATACCGGACTTTAGCGGGTAAATACCCGGAAAGGACGGGGGTATTACAGGAAAAAAGTAATAAAAGCCAAAGGAATAGCCCAAAAAAATATTTTAACATGCCGAACCGGCTAATTACCGGGAAAAAACGTAAAAAAATCCGTAAACGGCTTGTAATAGCCGTAAAATATTGTACTTTATAAACAAAAAGTTAAATGGGGACGGTATAATACGGGGAACGCCTTAAATTAATGGTGCGATACATTTAAATTTCGAAGGACATGCAAAATGTAGCACATTTCGGAAAGCCCGTAAAGGGCATGTTTAGCGCGATACGCCAAAGCAATTACCGCACTTTAAACGTACGTTGTAGTGAAAAACATTATTGCTTGCCCGAAAAGGAAGTAAAAAAACCTTCGAATGGTATAACGAACGGGCTTAAGCGTTTAGGTAGCGGTAAATGCATGTTGGCGGTATTTAAACCCATTGGGGGGCAAGGAAAAAGCATTTTAAAATTATTTATTAAGGCATTAAAACCTAGCTGGTAATTAAAAACATTAAAACCTTGCAATGCTGCAAAAGCAATATAACGAAAGGAAATTATAATTTTAATTGTAATAAATTAACGAAAAAGATTTAAAACTAACTACTTTTTAAAAAGGGAATACTAATAATTAATTAGGAAAATATATAAAAAAAATCGATTAAATGCCGTATCCAAAAAAACCAAAATTTTCGGAAACCACGTCCTTTTCGCTAGCGTTACAATTGTTGCCGCTAAAATTGTCGGCGCTAAAAGCGGTACTTCCCGGCGCTAATACGGACGCCGTACCCTTACGGGAAGCCGCGCGGCTGTAAGCTTGGGTATCCAAATGCGCCGCAATCGTAGCAAAGCTAACGGCAATGCCACCAAAAAAAGCAACCATACCTTTTTCGAAACGCTTAAAAAACGTTTTTACCTCGTTAAAAGAATTACAAATGCTAGCCAAAGTTTAAACTTGCTTTTTCGTTTAAACGGCGATAGCGTAAAGTTATTAGGAAATGTTTTAAATAGCTTTTAATATTGCAACGCTAGCAATTTTGCGCTGGATGCGCTTTTGGATAACGGTTTAACGTTCGTAACGCGCAAATTGTTCGGCCGATATGGTATAAAAGGATTTGGCTTTTTAAATAGCCTTACGGGCGCGAAATTAAGCTTTAATAAGCTTTTCGAAAAGCTTCGGTATTGTTTTGGGCAATTATTTGTAAACGGTATTTAAAATTTTGTAAAGGTTTTAAGCCATTTTCCAAAACCATTCGGGGAATTTAACGCAAGCTTTATTGCTAATTACGTTTTTGCAATAAATACATTTAAAAAACCCCGTACAATTATCGAAGCATATCGGTATACGGGGGTTAACGGCATAATTTTAATATGCTTAATAACCAAAATAACGGTTACAAAATACCGTACGCTCCGTATAATTGTTTTTAAAAAGGGGCAAATAAATAAAGTTTTAATTATCGCTTTATTAAAAATCGATAACCTCCCGCAACGGGAGCGCGTTGCGGATATTTATATAAAGCGAAAAAAAGGCAATGTCCGTTTCGGGGGCAAATCCATTAAAATTAAAAACGTTGCAACGGCGTTCGTTACGCGCTTTACGCTTTTTTTCGGCGAAGGTTTTTTTACCGCGGCGGTTAAAGCCCGCCGGGGGGTTACCGGCAAAACGCTTGCGGGAATTTTAAAAAGCTGCAAGCGTAAAAGGGCCTAATGGACCCGCAATATTTAAAAAGCTTACCGAAAGGTTACCGGCAAAACGATCGTTAAAAATTTAAAGGATTAAAAATTTCGGTAAAACCGAATTCGAATCCGATTAAATTACGATAATTAAGGAAAATACCGGGGGGTTGCCAAAAAAAGCTAACGGGCCGGTTGGAACCGAAAAACCCAAAGCGAATACCCGAAAAAACATTACTTTCTTTACGTAATCGGGTACAAAGGATAACATTTATAGCTACCGGTTAGGTCCAAATATCCAAAAGGAACGGTTAATACCAATTATTACGGTTACATCGTTAAAATTATGAATGTATAAATGCACAAAAGGAAAAAAAAGGCTGTAGCTCGACGGAAAAA